AAAAAAAAAAAGCACAGTACAAAGGATAAAAGAACATTTATTAGTATTTTTCCACTCCTTTGTGGTGAGGACATCACATCACATCACCCAAGGTTTCACATATGCTAGCCAAGCACTCTTATCACTGAGTTATACTCCCCGCCCATTTATTAGGCTCTTTAGTTGTAGATGGACACAATACCTTTACTTTAATTAATTTTATGTGGTGCTGAGGCTCGAACCCAGTGCCTTACACACACTGAGCTACAACCCCAGCCCTGTCAGGCTCTTAATCCTGGAACAAAAGCCTTTTGACTCTGTGTATGCTGCTAGGGATCAAACCCAGAGCCTTGCACATACCAGGCAAGTGCTCTACCCTTAGCAAGACCCCAGATCAAACAAATGTCTTGACAATGTAATTTTTTAAAAGCTGTAGTTTAAATTAAGTAACCTCCACAACTTAAGATAAGCATAATTTACAGAAGATTACATTAAACTAATAATAACTACAGTAATATCAGCTTCTCTTCCATTTAGTGCCACTTTATACTCCAAGCGCGTTGTACAGGTTTTCTTATTTAACCTTCACAATAAATCAGTGGGACAGGATGGGGACTGTTATCCTCATAAAAATAAGGGTACTGACACTTAGGAAAATTAAGTAACTTGCCCATCATTATAGTTACTAAAGGATAGGGCAGAATTTGAACCCAGGATTGTTATGACTTCTAAAACCAATATAGGTTGGGCATTCCTAATTCAAAAATCTAAAAATTGAAATACTCCAAAATTTGAATACTACATGATGTGACTCTTCAACTCTACCTTCTTCAGGGAAAAATGTTAGGAAGAGGAGTTACTTAAAGTTAAAATTATCAGCTCCTAGTAGGTGATTTAGAAGTAATGATGAGCACTAAAAAAGTGAGAGCAAGAAGAAAGAAAATAAATTTAGACTGGCTATCAGAGAAGAACTTCCTGTCAACAAAAACTGAGACACTAGAACATATTATCAAAGAACATTACGTAGGATAAACTAGAAGAAAACACAACCTTGTGAAGGGTTGTCAACACACAAATAGTGTCAACATACACACAAGATGGGAAAGTACAAATATAGCTAACTTGGCTCAGCCTCACTTATAATTTAAAATAGCAAAATAAAAAAAGAAAAGTGGTAAAATAAGCCTGACAGCAGCAGTCAGGAGATTGCACTAGAATTCTGCCAGCCTAAATACAAGTTAGCAAAATGCTAACCCAAATATTTATGCCACATTTTTCAAAGGATCCATCAAGGTACAGGTACTATTTTATAATTTTCTTCAATTCACTACCCCTTAAGACATGACATCTCTATTTCTTCTGTAAATTCATATTCAGATGGGAACTGGTATCCTTGTCTAAGCTTAACATTAGTAGATGATAATGTACTGGAAAAATAAAACCCAGTTTGTTAGTTTTCAAGTGTGTAGGGAAATTTATGAATAAAAGATATCACAATGATAACAAACACACACACCCCCTCTGGCAGAACTATTAGTTAAATTGGGAAAGTCTTGTCTTTTTCATGCCTGTACAACTTCTCTTCTTCTCTCAAGTGAAATGTTCCCACAGGCAAAGTTCCTAAGTTGACTGCTTCAAGACACTTCAGAGTCATCAATTTCATTTATTCCTTTCCAATGTCAGCTGAATTTTCATCTGAACCTTTACTGATTTGTAAAAAATGGGAAGTCTATATATCCCTTCTCATAGTAACTGGTTTTCTTCACTTTCATGAAAAGAATGAATGTTTCTTTAATGAGGATTATATATTATCAGGAAAAAAGGGCTATTTCCATTAAAAATTAAATATGTCCAAACTGGTATAGGTAATATTATTGTACTTTCCTGTTTTTCTCTATAGCACTGCCAACTCAAAGAGAAACAACATGTAGTTATTGGTTCCATCCATACCAGTTCCTTTTACACAAAACAGAAAAAACTCCTGACCATTAATTACATGGTTCTAGCAATATAGCTCAAGGAAATCCAGTATTTGAGGATGTAAATACTTGTTTTGGGAAAATAACACCTACCTTGTGAGTAGAGAAGGATCTGCATTTCTAAAAGAACACAGGTAAAAACCTGCACCAGGTTCTCTAATCCCAGGAGCTCAAAAGCCTCATGAAGAGGGTAGTCAGAGAGGGGGAGTTCATTGGTCCCAGGCCTCTGGCAGATGACAGGTTCATAAACACCATAAAATTTTAGTGATCTCCCTGGAGGTGGAAGAGGTACTTCATAAAGAATATTATGGATGTAGCTCTCAAGCGGCAAGGGTGGTGGCTGCTGTGAGGTAACTGCCTTGTAAAGTTGGATGAGGAATTTCTTGCAAGCCTGCATAAAAGGTAGTGGTGTGATCAAGCATATACTTTTTGAAACATACAGGGTATCTCTGTTGATATCATAGGAGTTGTATCGCTGGAGTTTCAAAAGGGAAGTTGTATCGCCCTCATCAATGCTGCTTGCCAGTGAGTCCATGCTGCATGAGGATGAAGCATAAACACTGCTGTATTGCTCAGCGTTGTGCATCTGGTAGAGTGTCTGCATTGCTGTGCAGATTTGCTTACTTGTAACTTCTTCATAAAAAGTGAGAACAAAACCGTAGGTGCGAGAACCATCTTCCCGGGTAATTATAAATGAGTGAAACTGAGGGTCTTTACTTTCATTTTGGGTTCTGAATGATAGCCCTTTAGGCATGCATAACTGTAGAGGAAATGGAGAGAAAGCATCAGAATACAACAAACAAACAACTTCAAACCTGAAAAAAAAGATGTTTGGCTTTTTTTTTTTTTTAACATTACAGAATTCAAAGGACAGGTTTTTAATCTAGCTTTAACTTTAGCAATAGCCTTATATTATAAATACATTGTAGTCTCACTTACATGTAGATAAAGGTATTTTTAAAAGGAATATATACATGCATATATCAGAAAAATAATCACTGTGTGGGTACTACAAGGAGGGGGTTTTATTGATTGAGAAGATCTTTTGGTCCCAAAAACCTCTAACCAAGCTTATATCCTTGAACAAGTCATGTAACTTCTCTGAACCTCAGTTACTTTTACAGTTGCTACATCAATAAACTGAAGATGGAGTATGCAAAACACTTTACAAATATTTAAGTACCATTTTTGTGGCAATATGATGCTTCAAAGGAAAAGGGAAAAAAGTGAAGGCTCATTTGATAATGGGAAAAAAGTTTAAAAAAACAACAGTACCATCTATGCTTTTTTTGAACAACATGATACTTTTTTAAAAAAATATTTTTTTAGTTGTAGTTGGACACAACACCTTTATTTCACTTGTTTATTTTTGTATGTGATACTGAGGATCGAACCCAGGGTCTCGCATGTGCGAGGCGAGCGTTCTACCGCTGAGCCACAACCCCAGCCCAATGAGATACTTTATCTTAGAAAAAAATAAACAGAAAATGAAAACGTTTTGATACTGACACAGAAGGGAAGAAACAAGACATTTTTGATTATTTGTAGTAGAGATTGACGTTCTAGGTCTTGGGAACTAGCAAAATTAACTCAAACTTGGGAACAAAATTACCCAAGAAGCTAAAGATTCTATATTTAGCATCTCATGAATTTTAATACTTAAAAGGCATGAGATACTAAATTCTTTAAAATATTTCAAATAAATTACAGAAAATTAGAAATATACTAAATAAATAAGAACTTGTAATTCAATTATATTCAAAAATAATCTTATTTGTTTTATGTATTTCTTTCTACTTTTGTATTGCAATCTACTTTCTGCATTGAAATAATTTTATCATACATTATTACATTTTTCTATTTTCCCTCCAATTTAATAAACAATCTGGTGCAAAATCTAGACATTCTCCCAAATTCCTGCATTACCAAGAAAGCACAATTCACCTTAAAAGTTATACATCCTTCATACTGTCAATATTTATTAAGTGCCTTTGGAAATGAGACCCCGTGCTGACCTACAATGGTGAGAAAGACATGGTCCCTGCTTCTAGGGAGGTCCCAGCCCATAGGATGAAAGACGAATGTAAAAAAAAAAAAAAAGAAAATCATAAATCACAAAGTATGCAAAGTGCAAAGATAAGATAAATGCAGGTTGATTTAGAAAAAAAATAGCAGGAAAGCATATTAGGAAAAAAAGAAAGCTATCACATAAAAATGAAGTCCAAATTGAAACCTGAGGATGGGTGTAATAGGTGCTGGTCAGATGAATATGATTCTAAGCAAAGGAACAATAGGTGAAAAGCCAAGAAGGAAGAACAAATGGATCCGAGGAAGTGAATCCAGGTCAGTGTGGGTGGAGCACAGAATGCAAGGTGGGGGATGTGATAAGAAAGCAAGAGAAATAATTAGGGGCCTTCCTGGAGGGCCTTGGTGACCCCTATTAGAAATTTGAAGACAATGGTAGCCTTTGAAGGATTTTTAGCAGGAGGAGCCTAGAATGTGATAAATCTGAGAATATCCATCTCCCAGCACTGAAAGACAATGGTTTTCAAAGGGGTCCAAAAAGGAAAGGATAATGCTTCAGTGTCTAGGAAGTAGTGAGAGGTCAGAGGAGAAACAGAGAACAGCTTCCCTCCCTTCCTCAGGCACATTCCATTTGAATTTGTTTTGTAGAGTTTCGTATTAAAATTTCTGGGTTACCACTGCTTAAAAAAAAACCACAAAATCTTAATGGACAGGATTAATAAAACAAATTTTCACTGAGCATGAAGATGGGTGGGTGTACTGACTGCTCCTCATAACCACTTGAAATCATGGGCCAGCCTTTTTTCCTAAAATCTCTAGGCTCTGAAGCCAAGTCATCAATTTATATCACCACATCTTGGTTTTCTTTTCTTTCGTGGTACTGCGATTGAAAAGGGGCACTCTATCACTGAGCTACACATCCCTAGCTCTTTTTATTTTTTGAGATAATGTCTCACTGAGTTGTCCAAACTGGCCTTGTAATTGTCATCCTCTTGTCTCCTGAGTTGCTGGGACTATAGGTGTGTACAATAGTGCCCAGCTGAACTTTACTCTTAACTAAATAATTACTTCACTATTTCCATCAAGATGTCTAATTTACCATGGCCAAAGCTGAAAGCCTGATTTGTTCCTCCAAGCCTGTTCCCCCCATATCTCCATCCATCCATCCATCTACTTTGCCTAGTATAAAAACCTTGGAGTAATCTTTTACCTCTCTCTTCCCTTCTCATTCAATTATCCAATCCATGAGCAAATATTATGAAATGTACATTCAAACATATATTCAGAGACTACTTACTTCTCTCTTTACTCTTAACTCTCTACTCCATCTTCTTTTCTTGCCTGGATGACTGTGATATCCTGCTAACCATTCTCCTTGCTTTTGCCTTTGTTCCCCATAATCTATTCCCCACAGAGCAATCAACATGATCCATAAAAATGTAAGATTTTGTCACTCTTCTTAAAACTCTCAATGGACTCTTACCTCAATAAAAGCCAAAGTCCTTACTATAGTAGGGCCCTATGGCCTGGCTCCAGCAACAGTCTGCCCTCATCTTCCACTATTCTTTACCCACTCTTCTCCAGCAACACTGGCATGCTGCCTTTCTGTGAACAGGACTAGCATGCTCCTGTCAAAATCTATTCTGTCACCTGGAAATGACTTCCTGTAGGTGTACAAATGGCTTACTCCCTGTGGCAGGCTATTTTGTAAAAATGGTTCAAACAATATTTCTAGTTCCACGCACTCTTCCAGTACTTTGCCATCCTCCCATTGAGGGGTAGAGTCTACCCATCTCCTTGAACCTGGGTAGGCTGCTGAAAGTGCTCACATCAGAGAGTAACAAACTGTTCCCACAAATAGCCAGATAAATATTTTTAGGCTCTGCAGACCACAGTATTGTCCTAACAACTCAACCCTAGCACTGTCGCAAGAAAACAGTCATGATAACACATACAGGAATAATATGACTTTTCTAATACAATTATGTTAATAAAAACAGATGGATGGATTTGGATAGGAAGACATGTTTGCCCAAACCCTGACCTAATCAAGTAAAATGCAACAGCAGCGACAGTAACCAAGTGACTTTTGAAGCAAGCCTAAAAGTGGCAATACAGCTTCTACCTCTCTTGCTGGTCAAACATCTTGGAAGCCCTGAAGTAATATATAAATCTGGCTAACCTGAAGCTTCCATGCTGTCAAAACCAATTGGAGAGACCATAGAGACACAAGTAATATATTTGTCTAAAAAATTGTAAAAACTAGCCCCAGGAGGTCAAGGTTGACTGCAATGTTTCAGCCCAAGCTATGAGTAAGGCTATATTTGATTTTAATCTTTAGGCTTCAAACCTCTCTAGTGCATGCTAAGAAAAGAACAGGGGCAGCCCTGCCAAAATCTATCCAAATCACACATTTGTAAGCAAAGTAATTATTCTGTTGTTTTAAATCAAGGGCCAATAAACCACAGTGTTTATGTTAAATCCAATCTGCCACCAGTTTTTTTTTTTTTTTTTGGGGGGGGGGGGGGGTGGTGGGGTGGGGTACTGGGGATTGAACTCAGGGGCACTCAACCACTGAGTCACACCCCCAAGCCCTATTCTGTATTTTACTTAGAGACAGGGTTTCACAGAGTCACTCAGCGCCTTGCTAAATTGCTGAGGCTGGCTTTGAACTCGTGATCCTCCTGTCTCAGCCTCTGGAGCTGCTGGGATTATAGGCACATGCCACCATGCCTGGCTCCTGCCACCAGTTTGGTAAATAAAATTTCACTTCAAACAAGTCACACTCTTCATTTATATATTGTCAATAGATGTTTATCTATTACCCAACAACAGAGCTGAATAATTGTGACGSAATCTGTATGCCCACAAGACCTCAAACATTTACTATCTGATCCCATATGGAAAAAAATTGCCATCCCTTGTTCTAAGGCAGTAAGTAATACAAACATGGGKTTTTTTTTAATGAATCAACAGATAATCAAAATATTCCTTTATTTCCTTGAAGTCTAAATAAACATTGCTTTAGAAAAGCCTTCCTCTACCTTTCTATTAAAAAATGGTGTTTTTCTCATCCTTTAAATGCTATCAGATTGCTACTTCTCTAAAAAGTCCTTTTTGTATAGAGAAGCAATTAAAGCCTTGCATCACTATATACTTGGACAATATAGAGATATGCATTATTAGCTCTAATTTTATTTCATCTCTAGGTTGTAAACTACTCAAGGGCTAGTACTTTATTTCAGAAACCTTAAATATTCAAGTGTAACATGCATTGAACAATATATTATTTGGGGCCAAAATAAATGGTGATTGATGAAAACAAAAGGAAAAAAAACTATGACGCTAAACATTATAACAGTGGCTACGCTGCTGGGAGCTGTACTTGGCAGAGTTAATTTTACTTCCCCTCCCTTTACATGTCATTCTAAATTCTAAAGAAAAGCCTCACCTAAACGATTAAGATGTTAACTAGTAAATAAACTTTTTGTAGGTTTATAGAACCCAACATCTGATGCCCTTTAGATAACGTCAGAATGTGTAATGCCCCTCTTTATTCTAGTCCTGTGCATCAACCAATACAAAGTATTAAACTGCTATGAGGTTTACTTGCAGAAAAGTAATATGTTTGTCTAAAAAACTGTAAAAACTAGCCCCAGGAAGTCAAGACTGACTGCAAAGTTTCAGCCCAAGAGGTGGGGGAGAATGGGACATAGACACATGCCCTGAATTACA